CGCGCTCTGGGTGTCCTGCACCCCCTGTGTCTGCAGCAGGAATGCTGATTGCACACATGGGGAGTAAAAGTGCATCTTCAACTGGACAGTTTTCTTCAAGTATGGGTCGAGTTCATGAGTTAATCTGTTTGTGCTGTGCAGCATGATGAGTTACAGGCATTTATGTCAAGTGATTAAAAAAAACTGAGGCAGAAGCTGAAAAACAAAATCATGTTTCCGGAATTAGCCGGGCAGGCTGGTTCCTGAGCAGGAAGCAGAGACTCGGACAGATGTGCTCTTTGGAGGACGGCAATGAGACCCAGGATGTCTGGTTCTGCTCAGATCGTGGTTAAAGAAAATGATCCTGCTTTTCTTTTCCAGATTTTGGTCCAAGTGAAAGAAGTGCTGTCCAAACTCCCCAGTCTCGTAGAAATAACACTAAAAGAGGTAAGTTTCATATACACAAGGAGTAAGTTTACATTTTTATTTTTGCGTTTCGCCTTACGTGAAGGCGCCTGTTGCTAATGATAGGGAATACTTGTGCTCTGTGCTTAAGAACAGCACAGATAAGGGGTGACTAATGAGGAGGCTGTCCCTGCTGGCTTCATGCTAGTAACTCGGCGATTGCTGGGCCTCATCCAACTGCTCAAAGAAGCCAGGATATTGGGTTCAACAGCATGGCTGGTTCACCTGTACTACACCCCCACCACCCTTTGTGTACAGACAGCTCTGAGCTCTGTTCTCCGGTTTAAACACTGCCCCTGTGTCCTCTCTAAATGGCTTTGAGGATTTTAAATATTCGAGTCGTTTCCCCTTGTTACCATCTGTAAAATGATTCACTGTGTCCAAGATTGTGTCTGGTTGCTTTTCTTCTCTTCTCATTCCATAGCTCCAATACCATTTTTGTAGTGAGCTGTCTTTTACACTGCTGTGTATGCTGTGTATCCTAAATGAAGTCTGATTAGCCCTGATAGTATTCTGCACTTTTAACTTTATATCCTAACAGTGTTTGCCTTTGCCATGCACCGGTCTAGTACATTGTCTGAAAGATGGGAAATACAGGTGACCATGAATACCCGAGTCTGTTTCATAAGCATCTTCTTCAGGCTTAGCGTTTCCCCATTTCATATCTGGAGTGTGTGTTTCCTGTGTGCCTGTTGCACTCTGCCCTTGTCGTTGCACTGGACCTGCCAGGTGGGCACCCAGTCTTGAGTCTTGTCAAGGGGGAGGGGGGGGAGGATTTCCTACTCTCCTTCCATGGCTTTTGCAAGTCCTGCTTTTTTGGAATAATGGCTCTCGTTGTATCGCAGTGTTCCAGTCTGATTCATGACAATGTTTCTAGAAAGTGAAAGCTAGCTGCAGCTGCACAGATCTGTGATAGTGGTCAGTCCTCATCGTCTGCTACTCTCTCCCGCAGACAGAGAAGATCACTATCTGCGGAGACACTCATGGTCAGTACTATGACCTCCTCAACATTTTTGAGCTCAACGGCCTGCCGTCCGAAACCAACCCATATGTATCCTTTTCCGTCTTGAATCTGTCCGTTTCGTGTTCTGCGATATCTGTGACGCTGAGGCTGGGACTTCAGACCAGGCCTCTTTTGAACGGTGCTGCAAGATTGCTGTCTCTCTCGCAAGCGTGAGGCAGCTGTGTGGTGGTCGGGGCTCCGGACTCACAGCGAGAAGGTCGTGGGTTCACAACCCCGAGTGGGACACAGCTGTTGTACCCCTGAGTGCAGCTCCAGTGAAATACCCAGCTACCCAGCTGTTTTTAAATAAGAAGACCAATCAGAATAAATGGTTGGAGCCAACCTAACGCAAAATAATCCGTTCTGTTAATCTGTTAAAAATTCAAATGGGGATTTGGTTGTGGTATTAATGGTCCCCAGCCATTTCTCTGATTAGGAAAAGTAAAGGTTTATTCCGTGCTCCTGTGGAGCCTTCTTCAGGTGGAGAAGGTGGGGCGGAGCAGTGGCTCTGTGGCTCAGGATCTGCGCCTGTGGCTGGAAGGTTGCCGGTTCAAATCCCGCAGCCAGCAGAGGAATCCTACTCCGTTGGGCCCCTGAGCAAGGCCCTTAACCTCAGCTGCTCCAGGGGTGCTGTACAATGGCTGACCCTGCGCTCTGACCCCAAGCTTCTCTCCCTGTCCGTGTGTCTCATGGAGAGCAAGCTGGGGTATGTGAAAAGACAGATTCCTAATGCAAGAAATTGTATAGGGCTAATAAAGCAACATTATCATTATTATTACATTATTAGGTGTCAGGTGTCATTTCTCTGATTACTAGATTTAGTGCGTAATGCTCCCTGAATGAACTAAATTTTGAGGGTTTGAGATGGTCCTTAGATTTCAGTATAATTAGCTTCTATTGCGTGTGGGTTTTATAGCTGGTGCTTGAACGCATTACTGCCCTGCCAGAGCTCTCCTGTCCCCTGAACCATCTGGCTCCGACGTTAAGACCCAGGCTGGTCGGTTGTCTCCTTAGCTTTGGGCTGCAGCTCTTCAACGGCGATTTTGTGGATCGAGGCTCCTTCTCGGTCGAGGTGATCCTCACCTTGTTTGGCTTCAAGCTGCTGCACCCCGACTGCTTCCATCTGCTGAGAGGTGAGGACCGTGCTCAGCAGGGGGCGCTGCAGCAGCTCGCAGGGCCACGTCTGTACCCGGGCTGTCTGGCAGACGCTCCCTCAGCGGTGACGTGAGCGCGTTTCATTTTCTTAATTGCAGGAACAGCAGAGTCAGACAAGGAGACAGTTCGTGGTATGCACGTTGCAGTACACTTGAGACAGAATTCAGGCTACTCTCCGTCCAGTACAACCCCACAGATGTAAATCCTAAATCCAGTCAAACCAGTGGACAGTGCAAGTCAGCCCCAAGCTCAAAAGGATATACTGCTAATAGTGATAAAACAGTGTACTGGCCATTGAGTTTGGTGCACAGACATCACCATATAGCAGTCTAATTAGGCTCTGGTCACCCCCGTGGCACAGTGAGATCGTGTGAGAGCAGCTCTTGCTTTCTTGTGCGATATGAGCCTGTTCCTCTCTTCACAGGCAACCACGAGACAGACAACATGAACCAGATGTACGGGTTCGAGGGTGAGGTCAAAGCCAAGTACACGGCGCAGATGTTCGAGCTCTTCAGTGAGGTGTTCCAGTGGCTCCCTCTGGCACAGTGCATCAACAGCAAAGTGCTGGTAAGAGCTGTGACACAGCTGAGACACATCCACAGTCCACAGCCGGACAGACTCACACCCACACTCTGCGTCCAGCACAGTCCAGAGACTGACAGACTCACACACACACTCTGCGTCCAGCACAGTCCACAGACGGACAGACTCACACAGAAGCACTGTGTCCAGCACAGTCCAGAGCTGGACAGAGTCACACATACATGCCCTGTGTCCAGTATGGTTCTGGGAATAGACACGCAGGTTAGTTAATGCTCAATAAAAAAGTGGGAGGCTGAAATTTGAAAGTTGCAGTAAACATGCAGAGGAGAGTGAAAATGTAACAAATCCAATTGAAAAATATCAGACTAACCTGATTAACTTGTTTACTGATTTTTTGAAGCTGTCTCTCTCTGCAGGTGATGCATGGGGGTTTGTTCAGTGAAGATGGGGTATCGTTGGATGACATCCGCAAAATCGACAGGAACAGACAGCCTCCAGACTCAGGTAGGCCAGGCTCAGATGGGCCAGACTGAGGTGATCTACTCTAGTAGTGAGGCTACTCTAGTGTTCATAGTGTACATGTGGTGTATTGCACCAAATGTACTGAGTCTACAGGTACACAACCATCAGGTGTACACTTTGGGTAGGTTCAAGTACACGGCTCACCAGGAAAAATCACAGAACTCCCAACAAATAAAGTGTGACATTCATGTCACAATCTGTGAACCTACTGCCTGTGATTACCTACTGAAGTCACAAGTCCATGGCCAGGTGAGAGATAAGAGGGCAGCCCAGCGATTATTTACAAGAGAGAAACAAACATTCAACATTTCAACAAATTCCAAAACTGTAGTTTCTCCAGAAAACTTTCTACTAACAGTTTAAGAGGTATTGTCATCGGATAAACCTGACCTGTGTAGCAGCACACAGACCAGGACTGACAGACCACAGCATGAGCGCCAGGTTCAATACTCCCATCATTTGAGCTGGGGGTCGAGTCAGGGGCTGTTACCCAAGAGCAGCACTGTGGATGCACTACTGGAACTCATTAGTACATCTCCGAGATGAGCAGTGCAGGTTCATTATAACTGCCCAGCTCTGTCGCAGAAACGGTGACACAGACCCATTCCCCACACTTCATCAGGTTGGAGA